GCGGCGCAGGGGAAGAGGGAGAGTAGTATTCATATTGAGTAATTGTTGAGGAGGAGGAGGAGGAGGAGGAGGAGGAGGAGGAGGAGGAGGAGGAGGAGGACGAGGAGGACGAGGAGGACGAGGAGGAATAGGAAGAGGAGAAGGAGGAGGAGGAGGAGGAGGAGGAGGAGGAGGAGGAGGAGGGGGAGGAGGGAATGGAGGTGTGGCGCGCTCCACTCCAAGAGTGCTCCCGAAGGCTCTGGAGCTGGCCATAGGTGGGGCAGCGGCAGGTGGTGGCCCTTCGGAGGGCCCCCGGCGTCGCCAGCGGCCGGACGCGGCTCGGGGGACGCCGGCGCGCGCGGACCACGGGAGGGGTCCGGGGGCCGCTTTTGAGCCGCCGCTGTCTCATTTCGCCCCGGGGGTTATGATGTCCCAGCCCACTTTAGCCTTGATCACCAGAAAGAGTTTCGACCACCAGAAAAGTACCGGAACTCGAGGGTTTTTACGTGTCGGGCCTTGGGAGACACTCGTCCGACACTGTTTCGACACTCTTTCGACACTTTTCCGAGTGCTCGAAATTATTTCTGGGATGTGGTCCTTAAGTACGATGGGAGCAACATAGCCCAGGGAACGGGTTTGAACTCCCAGTGTCTCAAATCACTTGGCTCCGAGGTTGGATTTGGGGGGGGCGGAACTCTTTTGCCAACCCCCACCCTTGCCCTCCCCCGGCCACCCCATGTTTCTGGCCCGACAGCCTCTCTTTCCAGCCGCCCAGCCCCAACGATGGAGCATTGACTGATTCTGGCACGTTGCAGGCTCCAGGAAGCGAATCACATGACAGAGCCCACGCAGCCCAGCCAAGTTCCACTGGCGAAGACATTGGGCAAAGCAGATGCTGGAGTCAGCGGTACGCAACGGCAAAGACACCCTGACGATGTTTTGTTCTTGATTGGTCGAGGCGGGGGTGGACACAAGGCGTCAGCTATAGCAATCCGCGACTGCCTCATACAGAGACAAGTGTCTTCAGGAGGTTCACGCCATCCCGCTGGCCCCTCAAGACAGGAAACACATCCACGGTCGCCAGAATCAGGTAGGCGTTGCGTTGGCTGCTTTCGGCTTGGGTCTGAGGGCCACGGAGTGGTCATGACTGGGTCGTCGCTCGGGAGACGCGGGCCGAGCAGTTCTCGTCTGGCCTTCGGCCTCTGCCGCCACGATGCCCGTGTAGTGGGCAAGAGGCCTCCTGGAGGCTTCTTGGTCTCCTGGAAGTCCCCTCGGGAGGTCTCCTGGAGCTTTGTGGGCCCCGGACACGGCAGGGCCGTTTTTTCACCGTTTCCAAAAAAATGTCCCTTGAAAATGGAAACGGCAACAAAAACGGCGACCGGAAACGGCAACAAAAACGGCTCCAGGAGTGGAACCGGAACCAGAACCTGTCAAAAAACGGCAACGGAACTGGTAAACAACGGCGTCGGAACCAGCAACAAAAACGGCAAAACGGAACCGGTCAAAAAACGGCCCTGTCGTTTCCAGGACCCACTAAGTCCTGGAGGCCTCTCTTCAAACGACGCGAAGATCGGGACAAAATCGGATCGGGATAACTCGAAATCTCTGAGAATCGGCGGGTTTGGAGGATGTATTGGGCGCCGCGGCCGCTCCAGAGCGTTCCGGAACACTCTGAGAGCGCTCCGGAACGCTCTGGAGCGATTTATCCCGATCCTAGCCCTGTCTTAACTAAGTCCTGGAGGCCTCTCTGGAGTTTTGGGGCGGTCTCCTGTAGGCTTCGGGGGCCCCCCCCGGTGGTCCTCTCGAGCCTCGAGCGGCCTTGGGGCTCGCCTCTGCTGGGGGGCATGGCTGGCTGTCTCGAGGGCCACCTCGGGGTTTGATGGTTCCTGGGGCCTCCTTCGGAGCCTCTTGGGGCCTTTGCGGTCCCTCTTGTGCAGTCGGAGCCCCGAAGGAGGAACCCTTTTTGTTGGGGAGGGGCTCCGTGTTCCTCAGTTGCTTTGCAGTGCTCCTGAGGTTTTCCTGAGGTTGTCCATGGAAAATCTGAGTTTAATCTATGGGGGGCCTCGTTCCTTCTCGATCGTTCCTTAGGTCCACGCCCCGGCTGTAGGCCCCAGGGGTCATGCTAGGTGGGCATTTGGGGCCTCTTGGGCCGTCTTGGACGTTACTCCAGATTTCGTAATAAAAGGGAGGGGGTCTGGACCCTCCAAGACAAGCCATTTCAGACCTCCCCCGTGGGAAACCCCCCAAAACATCGTCCCCAGACCCCCCCAGGCCCTCCAAGATAGCCTGGAAGAGACCCCCCCCCGAAATGAGACCCCCTCCCTTTTATTACGACATCTGGAGTATCCATACTCATGGGCCGAGAATGCGGAAGTCAAAAATACTCGATAGTCTTCCATGGATGTTAGCCAGCCTCCAGGCACCCCAAACCGTCCAAACAGGCTCCTAACACGACACGCGATGGGCCCTTGCGACCACCTGGCCCATTTTGTCGGTTTCTGTGGCCCCAGTAGGCCAGTTTGGGAGTGTCTGCGGGGCAGAGGTGAAACCCTTGACGAGCTCGTAGGGACCTCCCCACCCTTTAACTGCATGTTGGACCTCCGGGTGGAGGAAGGAGGATGGGGGTCAGCCTAGCATCTCAGATGGACACGGTTTGTCACTCCTGGAAAGCGGGGGTGTGCCGATTGGTCAGCGAATATCGAGTTTATCGATATTGGCGAGGTTGTGGAAGAAGCTATTCACGGTTGTTGTGCAAAGTGTTGTTGCAGTGGTGATGACATTTACAACGAATTGATGAAACGGGGTTATTATTTATTCGCTGGCTGGAGTGGCGCCGTAGCTAAGCGTACGATTGGAAACAACAAGAAACGTATTATGCGACACCTTACGGAGTTGTGGGCTGACCGTGAACCCAGTCTTGTTGTATCATTTGTTCCCTTCCTGAACACACTGGTTCGACATTCGCTGCTGAAGGCCTGTCCCGGTAGTCAGTTGGTGACTGTAGTGACAGACATGGAAAGTTCTGACGCGCACCCTTGGTTAGATCCTTCAGACGATACTGCGGATATTCACACGATAGTGGCTGGAACGACGGTCTTGGAGGAACAGGCCAGAGCGTTAGGCTACTCCAAGCTGCTACGTACATCTGGCATGGTGGTCCACCCAGCCTTCTACAAGCAGGAGGAAACCCCTCCGTGCACAGGCGATTCAGAAACACGTTTCGCGCAAAGCGCACTCATCTTTTTCGGTGGATTCGCCCCGGTGCGAGTTGAGCAGATTGCTATGCACGTACTAACAAGCCTTCCCAATCTACATGTAGTTGTCGTGTGCGGTGGTAACGATGGACTCGCAAGGCGTTTGCGTATAGTAGTGGGCATGAGGTCAATGGCTGATCGATGCACAGTGGAAGGTTTCATACCAGCAGAGCGCCTGAGGCAGTATATGAGGAGTTGCGATGTTGTGATCGGGAAACCTGGCCCCGGTGTCGCGGCAGAAGCGGCCGTTTGTCGATTGCCTTTTGTCACAGAGAGGGCGCGAGTAATGCCTCAGGAGAGGTGCGTTTTAGAGTGGCTAGAAAATTGCGGGATTGCACTCGTTGTTGACAATTTGGAGAAGTTGCCCGCCGATGTATTTCAGTCTTTACATGCGTGCAGGAAGGCCTTATCAAAGTTAGAGTCGAATGCGGCGGTGTTTGAGATCTGTGCGCACTTGGAGAACATGTTGTCTGATCGCTCCACCCGGCAGTGATATGAGCGAGGGCGCCCACACCTGAGGTATTGCCGATTTTGTGTATGCACCTTGGAATGAGCAAGTCTTCGACGCGTCACACCAAAAGCTTGGACGTGCTCGCGCGTTGCATCCCCGGCAAAGACGACAGAGCGAGTGGAGATGGCACGGCACCAGCACCCTGGGGCTGGAAAGCCCACCCTTGCCCAGGTAGTCCGCGCGGAGTTTTCCACGCTCTCTCCTCCTCCTCGTCCTCTCTCCTCCTCCCCTTCCCTCCCCCAGTGGATTCGAGACGTTTTCGGGCCGATTCGTATCGCCCCCCTCTGTGCTCCGTGCCTCCGCGCGCAGCTCCCTGCTGACTGTTGAGCGGATCGGCACCGGCTGCTGACCTGCGCTGGCGCCGGTCCGATATCGTCACCGCAAGGAGCAATATGCGCGGAGCCCCGAAAGTAGTTTCTGGTTGTCAGGAGGGAAAGAAGCACACACAGACACAATGAATCTTCGATTTCCAGGAAAAGATGTATGAAAATATGGGCTGTGGGGGAGAAGAAAAAACAAGAACAAAACAAAAAACAGAAAATATCGAGGATCCTGCTATTTGTGTGTATTCTGGTTTGTGATTGCTCCATCTGTGCCAGAGCTCCATTCCTGCTGGCCCCGTGGCCCGAGACGACGGAAAACCGCCGAGATAGGAAAGATCATGCCGCCGATCCGCCCTCCCCCTCCTCCCTCCCCCCTTCTACCCTCCTCCTCCCTCCTCCCCCTCCCTTCTCCCTCCCTCCTCCTCCTCCTCCTCCTCCTCCTCCTCCTCCTCCTCCTCCTCCTTCCCCTCTGTCCCCTCCCTCCTCCCTCCTCTCCCTCCTTTTCCTCCCCTTCCTCCACCTCCGCCTCCGCTCCGCACCTCCCTCCTCCCCCTCCCTCCGTACCTCCCTCCCCCGTCCCTCCCTCTTCCCCTCCTCCCGCATTTTTCCCTCTTCCCTCCTCCCTCCCACCCCGCCCTCCCCACCCCTGCTCCTCCATCCTCCTTCCCTCTTCCTCCTCCTCCTCCTCCTCCTCCTCCTCCACCTCCGTAGCCATTTTGGCTCAAGCCATTTTGGCTCAATCCATTTTGGCTCAAGCCTCCTGGCTCAGTGATCGCGGCGTCGCGCGCGCGGGCCGCCGCATGCTTGTGACGTCTCTCGGCGTCAAGAAGCCGAAGAAGCAGAGGAAGGGCCCGAAGAAGCCCGACCTGCCCGATGGCGACAACAGCGACGACGCCTCTGGGGCCGCTGCTGCTCAGCCTCATGGTGGCGCAGGTGCTCCTGCTGATGCAGCTGCGGAAGACCTTTCTGCACCCGCTGCAGGTGATGCTGCTCATGGCGTTCACGGTGAAGCTGGCGATGACGATTGGGACTGGAAAGAAGGAGGACCTGACGAGTACACTCGGTACCTGGCGAAAGAGGAGGCCACCAAGCTGTTACGCGACTACAAGCAGACGATGCTGGACTCCATCAAGTCCACGGTTGACGAGGCCATCAACCCCTTCGCCGAGCAGCTCTCCAAACACGCCGGGTCCGCTGCTGAGCTGGCCCAAGGTGTCAAGGACCTCCCCAAGATGGTTGATGATGCTGTTGCTAAGCGTCTGGATGGTCAGAATCGCCGCCTACAGGAGCAGCTCGACGGGATACACACTCGGCTGCGAGCCCACAAGACCCGACTGGACACCCACGACTCTGACATCTCCTTCCTCAAGGCCGAGATCAAGAAGTTGCACGAGCTCCTCGCCGTCGCCAATGACGTTCCCAAGGCGCCGCTGGTTTCCGCCGCAGGTTTCGATCGTGATACCGACCCGTGCGTTATCAAAGTCATTGCTGCCAAGCTCACGGCCCTCGAACATGTTCAGCAGGCCCTTTCTGATTGGATCGCCGAGGTCGGTGTCGAGGCGAAATTCTCCAAGATCTCATCATCGGAGGCCGTCAGCCGCAGCTTCTCCGTCGACTTCGTCGTTGCTCCTGCCCCTGCTGCCCGTCGGTTTGCCGAAGTTCTCGGTGCTCAACGTCTGGGGCCTGGTCAATGGAAGCGCTTCGGGACCACCGCCGCAGATGGACAGACCAGCTCTTCATATCGGCCCTGACAAACATCCGCGACAGATTCGCATGGAGACGCAGGCTCGGGAGATTCGGGACGCCTTCAAAGAGATCGACTCCACCAAGCGCTGGTTTGTTGACAAGGACCGCGGCTACGTCATGGCAGGCTGGGACCCGATTCTCAGGATCAGCCCGAACCCTGGCAACGCGCCGCCCACGCTCAACTGGGCCGACAACCTCATCACCAAGCTTGGGCTCCCGAAGCAGCAGTTATCGGCGGCGGCTGCCGCCATCGTGGCACCGCCTGAGACAGCTGAATGGTGTCTTGAGTGGGCTGGGGAGACTGCTTCGCGGTGATTCATCGAGTGCACGGATTGGTTTCTGTTACCTCATGGAATGCGCGGGCTCTTCTTCAATACCAGGGTGCTCACTCCAAGGTGAAGTTGGACTACCTTCGTCGTTTAGACTGTTTGAATGGGGTGGTTTGTCTTCAGGAGTTGCATCAGGATGCTGTGCAGTTACGGGACTTCATTGGGAAAGCTCGTCGTGACGTGCGCATCTTCTCCCCCCACGGCGAGGACTCGTTAGTGAAAGGAGGGGGCGCCACAGTATTGCCTGGCTCCTGCCCTGCGTCGGTTCATTCTGATGAACTTGTTCCAGGTCGTGTGCTCCGTCTTCATCTGCGGCGTGAGGGGCGCCATCTTTTTCATTGCAATGTACACAACCATGGCATAGATGGCGCCCAATTTCAGAAGATTGGCAAGGCCCTTGGCGCTGATATCAGTTTTGCTAGAAGTTCTCCTTTGGCGGTCGCTGTGGTCGTGCACGGGGACTTTAATTTCGCTGCCTCATCTCCTCTTCTTCTCCATCGCCCTGGTCGCCGTGGGGGCCCGGGTAAAGGCCGGCGCGCTCAGGCTGCCAAGTGGTCTAGGTTATTGGCGCCGCTCACTGAGTTCACGTCTGACGAACCTACTCACTATGACGCGAACGCTCACTCGGCTTCTGCTTTGGATAGGCTATGGGTCAGTCTTCCTGGTTGGATCGCATGCCAGATTCACGCTGTTCCTCGTGTCATAGGGCTTCCTGAGGCTTTGGCAGAGAAGGAGGTGAGTGACCACGCAGCCCAGTCTTGTTCTCTCTCGCAGCGCTCCAGAAAGCCTGAGGAGTATCAGAAGATCCCGAGGCGCATATTCGAGTCGGAGGCCTTCCAGGACCTGCTGAATACTGCTACTCGGCAGCTAGATTTTGCATCTCGCTCACCTCCCAGGCAGATTGAGCTCTTCAAGTGGGCAGTTAAAGAAGTTGCGCGTGAGATTCGAGATCGTCTTCTCCGGTGCGATTCCGAGGCCCTGGGCTCTCAACTTCTTCTCGCGAGGCAGATTTCTCGGGCGGTTTGGTGCAATGATATTTCTCTTGCTGTTCGCCTTCGTGCTGCTCATCAGACTGCCAGGGACTTCGTGGACATCTCGTCGGGTACTGTCTCGCTGATACATGCTCCTTCATTCCAGCAGTGGAGCGAAGCTGTTCAGTTGCGTCGCGCTGACCTTCGTCGCCGTCATCTGGAGGCGGAGCTCGCCGGTGGTCGTTCTCCCCCACAACTTCGCCACCGACTTCAGGCTCTCGAGAGGCGTGCGTCTATCTGGTCACCGCTATCACGTCGGCTGGTTCTTCAAGGCACTAAAGATTCGGGCGCGGGCGCGTCCTCCATTTCCGACAAGATTCACATGCGCGACAAGCTCGTGGAACACTGGGCTCCGATATTCACTGCTAAACAGATTGATGTTCCTGCTGCTCGTGATTATGTGAAAGGCCTTGTTCAGCCAATGTGTGTTGATGCAGCGCCGCCGCCGACCCCGTCGCTTCTCCGTGCTGTAGCCGAGAAGTTTCGCCATTCCGAACCTGGACTCGATGGCATTCCCTACTCGGATTGGAGCTCACCACCTCTTGGTCTTTCAATGCTCTCGGATGCTATGACGTGGATACTCTCAGGTCAGGCGTTATTCAAGTCGCCCAACGGCACGCTCCAAGTTTGGCCTCCTAATGGAGACGACCCTGCTGACAGTGTTGCCGCAGGTTGTACTCGGTCGCCGCCTTCTGTCAGAGTGCTTGGTCTGCGCGATGCCGATATCAAGATTATCACGGCCACGATCAATGCGCGCTTCAGTGTTCTTCTCAAATCTTGGGCCCCTCGCTCTCAGCGAGGCTTTATCCCGCGGAGGAATTTCGGCGTGGACATTCTGGAGCTCGACGCGGTCAGCAGGGTCTACTCAGATGCGCCGTCGGCTGCGTCCAACTTCCCTGTCTTGGTAGCTCTCGACTATGGCGCTGCCTTTCCTAGTCTTTCTCAGCGATTCATGTGCTTGGTGCCCGGCGCCCAGCGAGATGCATGTGCCGCGGGCCTTCTTGTCCATCATAGAGCAGCTCTACTTACTTGGAGCTCGAGGCTTTTGCGATGGTCCGCAATGCCCCTATCCATGCTTGGTGGGTTACGTTTGGCATCGTACAAGGCTGCTCCTTGAGCGGTTCCCTTTACGCTGCGTCTACTGCTACATGTCTCGCGGATCTTCAGCGCCAGCTTGAAGCACCACGGAAAGGTATCGCGCGAGCTTGTGCCGACGACATTGGTGCCGCCATCAGGAACATCTTGAGCCTGGCCATCTCAGCGGACATCATGCTGCACGCTGAAAGGTTTGCCACGCTGTCCCTGAGGATCGACAAATGCAACCTGGTTCCGCTGCACAAGCCGTTCTCGGGGGCGGTAGTTGTGGAGGTTCGCACGCTGCTCTGCGCGCATGTTCCGTTCTTCGACCGCATCAACATCGTCGAGTCCCTCAGGTACCTTGGGCTTATTCTTGGTCCTGCTGCCGATGCTGACTCGTGCTGGACAGCGCCTGCGATGAAGGCTCACGATCGATCCAAATTGGTTGGCCATCGTCATCTTCCTGTTCCTCGCCTGCCAGTACACCACGACACCCGCATCACCACCGTGCTCTCATCTGTCGCCCAGTTCCGTCTGATGCCGCAGTGGCTCGTGCGTAGCGAACTTGTGGCATTGTCGCGCTCATTTCGTTTACCCTTGGGTACTTTCTCGATGCCTGTCTGGCTTCAGTTGCGCTCTGCGGGCGGACCGACCTCACGGCTTGCGATGCGCACTGGGTCTTTACTTCGCACTGCTTACCGTGCTCTGCCAGCGTTCGAGCGGCTGTATGCGTGGCTCTACCGTCAGAATCGTCGCCTGGGTGATTACATCTCACTCGCTCAGACGTCATCGTCACGCCCATGCCCCGCCTCCTGGCGCAGTGAGGCCTTCGTGGAGACGCTTTTCAACATTAAGTACGGCCCGTTCCAGTCCACGGTATACTCACTCGCACGAGTTGCTGACAGTTGCTCGCCAGGCGGCTACTCGTCGTCTCCTCGACCACCCCTCTGGAACGGGCCTGCAGAGGTGCATTACGATGGCGGCCAAGAAGCATCTTACTCCACATCCGCTTTGGAACTCGCTGGTGGTGCGGCTCGTTCTCGCCTATCCCGACATGTGCTGCGATGGTGTATCTAAAGTTCCAGCTTCGAGATGGTCTCATCACGAAATACCTTCGCTCATGCTCAACCTCGTGGGCTATGGCGTACTTGAAAACTGCTGCCAACGGCTGGACGACGTCAACCCGCATACTTGGTGACCGTGGGCGCTTCTCATGCCGCTTTGGATGTGCCCACGCTGCTGACCAGCTCAAGCATTACCTTTCGTGCCCGAAGTTCCGCGCCATTTGCGAGGAGGAGTTTGGCTTCTCTCGACCTGCTCACCCACTTGGTCGTCTTGGCCTCTTCGGCTCCGCAGTGGATATCGGCAAGGTTGTCTTCGACATCGCGGTGATGCACTTCGCCTACCATGCGGCGTCCCATGCAGCCCCTGCTTGTACCTGGTCCCCAGCATCCGTTCGCTCACATGTCTTGGCTGCTATTCGCACCGTATCTCTAGGCGCGCGGCGACCTGATCAACTTCCGTGGCGGCGGTCCAGGCCACCGGTGCCAAGTCGCAAGCCGGCTGTCACATCTACTTCGACGTCTACTTCCTCTTCGTCTTCCACGCCGTCTTCTTCTTCAGCCTCAAGCAGTGGCGTCGACTCGTCAGACAGTGGGTGTACGTCCACTTCGTTTCCGTGCCTGGGGGTCATTGGCGACGCTTTCGACCTTGAGGTGGGAGATACAGCTGCTGGTCTTGAGGCTGTCGGCACGCACTGTGCATCATCGCCTTGTGGTGGGCCAGCACTTGGGACTACGGCAGGCAGAGAGTACCAACCTGAGAGCTGGCGCCTCACGGGTACGCGCTGCTCACCTGTCTCACCCCGCTGCCCTGCTACCTCAGGCATTGTTGATGCGCAGTGCCGACCTTCAATCTCTCTTGTGGGCCAGGCTTCTTCGATTGAGGTGATTGATCTTACGTCGCGTCCTACATCAGCTTCCTCGGGGCGCACTCCTCGGCAGGAGGCCGAGCGGCGGCGACGAGAACTCACCAATCGGGCTACCAGTTGGGCATCTTCTTGGCTTCCCTCCATCTTCTACGCCGAGCCCCAGAGCGATTTCAACGCGTGGCTGGACTGGTGTGTGGACTACGTCTACGGACTGCTTCACTATAGTGGCTTTGCTGCCTTGTTCGCAAATCGCATGACCAGCCTGGTTAAGGCTATGAAGAGATCAGCTGAAGAAATGTGTATGTCGGGCTGGTATGGTTCTGCTATCTTTCGCGAGCGGCTACGTCAACAACTTCTGCGAGGCATACCTCAGAATGATCATGTTGCTCTACATACGGCCTTTGAGAAACTTCGTTTGCACTTGGAAATGCTTGAGTGGTGTCCTGATCCGTCTCGGATGGAAGTACCAAATGGTGCGCGCTTTCTTCAATGGGTGCCTGCTGCTACGACCTGGCGTGCAATGGACGTCGACCCGTTGAGGCCCAAGCTTCGCTCTATGCAGTCGTCGGGGGCCTCTGAGGATTACGAGTATCCCCCTGCCGATGACGCAGCTGCCCATCCTGACTACCCGTCGCCTACGGACGAGGACCTCCGCATCATGGATGCCATGAATGACAGCGCTGAGGTGATGGGCAGGGGCCCTCCGCCACCATTCGAGGACGAACTCATGAGCGACGACGAGTGCGACCACCATTTCGGTCCCAGGGCCTGGCCACCAGAAGCATGGCAAGTTCAACCACCGTCATCACCACATACGCTGCCGTCGTGGCCCGCAGCAAGCTCTGGTGGACCCCCGCCGCCTGGTGCCGATGCTGATGTTCTTGCCTG